TTGAAGTAGTCGGCCTTGAAGGCGTCGGCCATCTCGCCAAAGCTCTGCAGGGTGTACTCCCGCGTCGCCTGCTCGAAACCAAACGCCTCCGGGGGCCGCTTGCACTCCTGGGGGGACACCGGAGGGCTCAGGGGACACCGGGAGGGCTCAGGGAACACCGGAGGGGTCAGGGGACACCGGAGGGGTCAGGGGACACTGGGAGGGCTCAGGGGACACTGGGAGGGCTCAGGGGACACTGGGAGGGCTCAGGGGACACCGGAGGGGTCAGGGGGCTTGGGGACACCAGGCAAGGCCCCAGGGACAGGGGGTCTGAGGAGCCCCAGGGACACACAGAACACCAAGTTGGGGGTTCCTGGGGACAGCGAGGGTTGGGATGCAGAGCTGGGGGTCCCCAGCCCCACATTCGGGTCTGGCTGAGATTTGGGAGCCCCCACCCCACAGATCAGACAGACCCAAACCGCCGCACAAGGAGGGTCCCAGCCCCACAGCCGGGGGTGCCAGGGGGCGTCCCCGTGTCCCCCTCACCGCCATGACGCATTTGGGGCAGCGCCAGATGCCCTTGGGGATCTCGGGCAGGGGGGGCAGCAGGCAGAAGATGTGGTAGTTGTCATCGCAGCCGTCGCACAGCAGCAGCTTGTCGTCCTCGTCGCCCCGCGAGCAGATCCGGCAGATGTAGGAATCCACCTGGGCGGGGGGAACGGGGAATTTGGGGTGGGGGGGTCCCGCCCCAGTGCAGCCACGCCCCTCCCCAGGAGCCCCCTACTCACGAACTGGCTGTTGCTGTGGCTGCGGCGCAGCCTCATCGTCATCTTGGTGCAGGGCTCGGGGCTGTGGCGCAGCTCCTCGCGCCCGTCCCGCGCCCCCGGAGACCCCGGAGACCCCCGGGGCTCCCCCGCCGGCTCCTCCTTCACCACCACCGTGGGGGGACACTCGGGACCCTCCTTGTCTGCAGGGAGGGGGGAACGGGGGTCCTGAGCACTTGGGGGGTGCAAGTGGGGACCCTGAACCATGGGGGGGTCACTGAGCTACGGGGGAGGGAGCCCTGAAAATGGGAAGGGGTCAAAAGAACTGGGGGACACCCCGGGGGAGGGGAAGGGGGTCCCTGCAGAGCTGGGGGAAACAGGAGTTCCTAAAGACTGGGAGGGAAATCTCTGCCCCACAATGGAGAAATCTCTCCCTAAATCACCGGGGAGAAAAAGCTCCTGAAGAACTGAGAAAGAAACGTCCCATAAAATCCCATAAAATCCCATAAAATCCCATAAAACCAGCGGATGTGGGAGAGCGCCCCAAAAAAATGAGGGGGGGGAACCCAGAAGCTCTGGGGAATGTGACCCAAAACAGAGAAAGAAGAGAAAGGCAAGAGAGCTCCTGAAGAATCCAAAAGAATCTGGGAGACACCCCAAACTAACTGTGAGCAAAGAGACGCCCAAAAGAACCACGGGAAGGAGCCAGAAAAAAACACAAACACCTAAAAAACACAGAGGTTCCCAGGAAAATTTAGGGGGTCCCAGCACCCCTGCACCCCCACACGGGGGGGGTCCCCAATACCTTTCTTCCGCAGGGTTTTATCCTTGGCCACCAGCCCCAGCCCCAACATTTTGGGCCCGGCCCCGTAAATCTGCAGCTTCTTCAGCTCGGGGTTCTTCTCGATGTCCTCCTCCGTGGGCTCGGGCTGCGGGACAGCGGCGTCAGGGGGATCCCCCGGGGGATCTGGGGGTCCCAGGGGGGGTTTTGGGGTCCCGGGGGGGGGGTTTTGGGGTCCCGGGGGGGGGTTTTGGGGTGCCCACCTCCTGCTGCAGGCGCTTGGCGCGCCGGCCGTAGCTGTTGAACTTGGAGGGCTGCACGGACTGGCGCAGGGGGATGCTGTGGGGTTTGTACTCCCGGTCCTTCTCCTCGCTCTCGAAGGGCCGCGCGTGGCACTGCTGGAGGGAGGGGGGAGCCTCAGCGTGGCCCGGGGCCCCCCCGGCCCCCCCGGGCCCCGCACTCACCACCAGGTTGGCCCCAGACTGGTACATCTCGTAGGGGTAGATGATGCGCTCGTAGTGCGCCCGCAGCAGAGAGCCGATGTTCTTCCCCGACGGGTACGACAGGCGCTGCGCCACCCGCGCCCACCGCCGGTCCTTGCAGATGGCCTCGTAGCCCCCCTCCTCCATCACCACCTGGGAGGGGACACCGAGTGCTCAGGGACACCCCAGGGACACCCAGAGCCCCCCAGAACACCCCAGAGACACCCCAGGGACACCCAGAGCCCCCCAGGGACACCCCAGGGACACCCAGAGCCCCCCCAGGGACACCCCGAGCTGGCACTTGTACCCCCCTCCTCCATCACCACCTATGGGAGGACACCGAGTTCCCCAAAACTGGGCACGTTCCCCCAGAAATGGGGACAAGACCCCCTGAACAGAAACATGGCTCCCCAGCTGTGCCCCCTCACCTTGCTGAGGCTGTAGAGGTCGAGGATGCGCCGCTCCACGTTGGGAATCTTGAGGGAGGAGCCCTGGATCTCCCAGAATTTGGCGATCTGGTCCAGGTAGTTCAGCTTCACCCGGGTCTGCGCCTGGCGGGGCAAGGATGGGGGTGAGACCCAAAACCAGCCCCCAAACCCCCCCGTGTCCCCCCACCCCACTCACCTCCAGCTCGTTGAGCCGCTGGATGCGAGGGGTGAACCTGAAATTGTCGACCTCAACAGCAAAGGGGGGCTGCCAGTCCTGGGGGGGCAAGGGGGGGTCAGGGATGGGCAGAGGCCCCCACAGCCCAAATCTGGGGGGATTCAACAGCCATGGCCCCCCCCAGGGAACACACAGCCCAAATCTGGGGGGATTCAACAGCCATGGCCCCCCCAGGGAACACACAGCCCAAATCTGGGGGGGTTCAACAGCCATGGCCCCCCCAGGGAACACACAGCCCAAATCTGGGGGGGTTCAACAGCCATGGCCCCCCCCAGGGAACACACAGCCCAAATCTGGGGGGGTCGGGGGGGGGCCAGCAGCCACAGCCTCCGACAAGAAGACCAGCCCTGGTGAAGGCTGGGGGGAACACGGGGGGGACACAGCCCAAATGGGGGTCCCTGCACGCCCCCCCTTGAGCGGGGACACCGGGGGTGCCCCGCGGGGCCGGTGACGCCAGCACGGCCCGGCCCTCCCGGAAGCCCTTCCCTCGCCGAGCTGGGGGGACCGGCCCGGCCTGTCCCCCCCGCCCCGCCGGGCCCCCCCAAACCGGCCGCGGGGACAAAGGGACCCCCGAGCCG